AGACCACAGCGCTTCGAGGCGGCCCAAAATACCCCGAAGAGAGCGACACGTGGCCTACATCGGGAGCCCAAGACAGCAGGAGGCACTTCCGAGACGTCCTCTGCAAGGCCCAAGAGGCCCCAAGACGGCCCCAGAGTGCTCCAACAGGACCAAACATGGGCTCAAAACGGCCCAGGATGCCCCCGCAAAGACCTCCAATACGGCCTCAGCAGGCCAACAACTTTAATTTTCCATTGGTTTTTGAACGACTCTGTGCTTCTCGCCTTTTCTGGCCACGAACGGCCCAAGAATGGTCTGCGAGCTTCCGAGGTCGCCCCGAGATGGCCTCCAGGCGGCCCAATGGGGCCCCAAGATGGGCCAATAAAGCGCCAAGAAAGTCAGGGAGCGCCCAAAAGACCCCTAAAAGACCTCCAAGAGGGCCCCAACAGAGCCACGGGATGCTTCAGAGAGGGCCCGAGAGAGCCCCAACACGGCCCCAGGACGGCCCAAGCCCCCCCAGACAGCCCACGAGGGCCCCAGGACAGCCCAAGAAGGCCCTCCGATGGTATACAACAGCACCAACAGGAGCTCCATTCAGTCTTAGAGCCGTCAAATTCATTACACTCTGATTGACCTGAGCCGTCGTCCTTGGCTCGGCTGGCCCGCGCGCCGAATGGGCCCGCGTGGCAGAGAAGGAAAAGGAGCAGGAGGCGGGACGGAGGAGAAAAAGGAGGAAGAGGAAGGAACGGTGAGGATTGCGAGAAACAGGAGGGGGCCCAGGAAGACGGAAGGAGGGCACGGAGGAGCAGGAGGAGGGGAGGGCAAACGGCGGAAACAGAAGACAGCTTTCACTGGGCCCCGTGATCTCGCCGAGGCGCCGGCCACATCTCTCATTCAATATCGTGTTGCCGCTTCGCTCGCGAGACTCCCAGCCTCTACCAGGTCAGCATCCCGTCCTCCAGCATGCGGCCGGACTTTCCTCTCAATTCTTGACGCTTCGCGTCCCCCACCAGAGGCACAGTGTCTTGCTGTCCGTTCAGGCCTCGCTTACGGTGGCGGTTCGGCTGGAGCTTGGCGCCGCACGGGCGACTTCTCCTTCATTTTGTTCCGTGCACATGCACCTGCGTGCTTCCTCGCAGGAACGAGTTTCGCCCGCCACTGCGGCGGCAATCTTCTCGTTAATTCGTGGGCACCGCGCCCCGGACTTACTTGCCCGCTCCCTGTCCGCCGCCTCGGAGCCGCCAACCAAAAAAATATCCCCACCAGCCCGTCCAGAATTGATTGCCAGCTTTCCCGAGGCCTGTTGGAGGCTATCCTGAGCCATGCTCGGCTAGAGGCTGTCGGAAGCTGTTCTGAGCCATGCTCGGCTATGTCGGGCCATATTCAGGCTGTCTTGAGGCCTCTTGGAGATCTGTCGGAGGCTATCCTGATCCATGCCTGGCTATCTTGAGCCATTTTGGAGGCCACTTGGGCTATCTAGGGCTCTCTTGGAGCCATCTTGGGCCAAAAAGGCCGGGGTGAAGAATCTTCAGGGGAGGCTGGGAGGCCTCTCGGGGCCGTCTTGGGCCCCATTGTTCAAAAAGAGCGGGGGTCCTCAATTCAGGTCCCCCCCCTTCGAGGCTCTCAAACGGCGTCTTGGGGACGTGTTGGAGCGCCCTTTGGAAGCCTCTTGGGCGATCTTGGGGCCGTCTTGGGCCTTCTTGGGCCCCTCTTGGGGCTCTCTTGGGCCATCTTGGGGCCATCTTGATGCCTCAGGGGCCCATCGGAAGCGAAAAGACGAGAATGCCAAACACATTGACTTTCCTTAGGCTTTTGAAGGGTTTTGGCTTCTTGGAGGGCGCCGTGGAGGGCTCGAGGGGCACGTGGATCCGTCTTGAGGACTCTTGGAGGTGTGTCGGAGGCTATCTTGACCCATCTTGAGGTATCTTGGGCCATCTTGGAGGCCATCTTGCGACTTGGAGCGCCTCTTGGAGCCATCTTGAGCCATCTTGGACGCTCTAATGCCTCCATCCCCCCCACCTCCAGGTCCAGGGGAAGGTTACCCCTCCCCCGAGCAGGGGAAGGAAGGGGAAGAGAGAAGACCAAACTCGTTATACCACCGTAGCCCTAAAGGGCTGGCTGGTGGGACTTCCACCTGTAGACTTCCAGCCTCCATCAGCTCAGCACTCCGACCTCTAGCGTCCGGCATCCGACTTTCCACCTTCACCTCCACTCAAGCGTCCACCAACGCTGCGCCCTGAGCCCCGCCCCGGGCGCTACCGCGCACTCGCCTCGCCTCGCCTCCGCTCGCACAATTCCCACACACCTCATTGAACAATTGTGTTCTCGCCCGCGCCCAGAAACATCGTAGGTGCAAGGAACAAGATTAGAAGGCGAAGCGCAGCGAGTCTTAAAATCTTCTATATACTCTATATATATATATATATATATATATATATATATATATCATATATATACATACACCGACGCTCTTTCTGGCCCTGCACTGGAGCTTGCACGGAAAAACGGATCCTGGTATACGCACGGGACCCTGGCGTGCACATGCTTCGCTGTTTCCCTGGGGCAACGGGGACAAGCGTACACCACACAACCCTGACGTTGTTCCCGACCCTCAAAAAGATCCCTGGGGTTGAACAAAAGCCCGCCACTGGTAATGTTTATGCTCCAGCTTCCGAAGAGCTCTCCAATTTTTCGCAACCATCCTGTGGTGTTGAGTCCTCAACTTGAAAAGACAGCGCCCCGCGTCTCCTTCCTTCCCTCCTTCCTCCCATCCCTGCCTCTGCCCTCCACATGGTGATGGGTCCTCGTTTTGAAGAGACAGCGCCCCACGTTCCTTCTCCTCCTCCCATCCTTGGCTCTGCTTCCTGCATGCAAACCAGCTCGACACACACACACACACACACATTCACACATTCACACACACACACACACTTCACACGTTCGCGGTTCCATAGGGAGCTCCACCACAGGCCCCAGTGGCTGCGTTCGCATGGGCCTGCCGCTTCAGTTTCGGCACACCGCTCACACAGTTCGTGGCCCCATGGGGGGCTCCACCGAAGGCCCCAGTGGCTGCGTTCGCATGCGCCCACTTACTCGCAGCCCCAATGGTAGCTCCACCGAAGGCCTCAATGGCTGCGTTCGCATGCGTCCGCCGCATCCATGTCGGCACACCCCTCACACGTTTCGTGGCCCCATAGGGAGCGCCACCGAAGGCCCCAGTGGCTGCGTTCGCATGCGCCCGCCGCACCCATTTCCACACCCCTCACAGCTCATGGCCCCGTAGGGAGCTCCACTGTGGCTGCGTTCGCATGCGCACGCCGCACTCATGTCAGCATACCCCATCACACGGTTCGTGGCCCCAGTGGGAGCTCCACCGAAGGCCGCAGTCGCTGCGTTCGCATGCGTCCGCCGCACCCATGTCGTCACAACCCTCACACGTTTCATGGCCCATAGAAAGCTCCACCGAAGGCCCCAGTGGCTGCGTTCGCATGCGCCCGCCGCATCAATTTCGACACACCCCTCACGGCTCATGGCCCCATAGGGAGCTCCACCGAAGGCCCCTGTGGCTGCGTTCGCATGCGCACGCCGCACATGCGCACGCCGCACTCATGTCGGCACACCCCATCACACGGTTCTTGGCCCCAGTTAGAGCTCCACCGAAGGCCTCAGTGGCTGCGCTCGCATGCGTCCGCCGCACCCATGTCGGCACACCCCTCACACGTTTCATGGCCCCATAGGGGGCGCCACCGAAGGCCCCAGTGGCTGCGTTCGCATGCGCCGCCCGCATCCATTTCGACACACCCCCGTGGCCCCATAGGGAGCTCAACCAAAGGCTCCAGTGGCTGCGCTCGCATGGGCATCCGCACAGATTACGGCACTTCCATCATACGGTCCGTAGCCATATATGGAGCTCCACCGAAGGCCCGTGGCTGCGTTCGCATGGGCCGCACCCATGTCGCATGCGCTCACCGCATCCATTTTGGCACCCCATTTGGTTGGGCCATTCGCCAAGCAAATTTGTGACGTCGGCCCCTGGGAATCTCGAGTGGATCTCGGCCACTTTTCTTGGGCCGGCTTTCCAAGGCCGAAAACGACAAAAAATCGGTCGTCACGATTTTTGGCGTCGCCCAGATCTTAGAGTTTTGAAGCCTCAGGGGGACCCTCCGGAGGCTCTCCTGGGGCGCCCTTGGAAGCCCTCCGACTGCCCTCGGTAGAAAGCAGAAAATCCCCCCCCCTTAGAATAGGCACCCCGACAAGCGAAGCTGTTCAATAAACGCACCCACAGAAGGAATCGAACAGGGCAGAACTGTTCAGTAAACGCCCAGGGCTGTTTCGTAAGACGCCACTTGCCGGAGCCGGGGTGGCTGATCTCCTCCCTTGATCCGGGCCCTCCTGGAAGAGGCCCCCCCCCCACACACAGTGTCGGAGGAGGAGGCGGAGGAGGAGGAGGAGGGAGGAGGAGGAGGAGGAGGAGGAGGCGGAAGAGGAGGAGGAGGAGGAGGAGGAGGAGGAGGAGGGGAGGGGAGGAGGCACGGAGGAGGAGGAGGAGGAGTAGGAGGAGGAGGAGGAGGAGGAGAGGGAGGAGGAGAGGGAGGAGGAGGAAGCTGGAGCCTCGCCTCTATGCATGCGCAGGCGTGGGCATCGAGCTGCCGCACTGCAGGCTTGCCACCTGCGAGTGCCCTCGGGCTCCCCCGCAGGCCTCCACGGGCCCCCGGCCGCCCTGCCCAGGGCGCCCTGCCTGAAGGGGCCCAAGGACACAGACACACACACACACACACACACAAACACACACACACACACACACACACATACACACACACACATAAAGACGCACAAACAGCAGGATCCCCCGCACTCTTCCCATATTTTCTGGGCGTTCCTCTTCACCCCCCCCACTTCCCATAGTTCCCCATATGTTCTGGGAGTCGACGATCCATTGTGCCTCTGTGTGTGTGTTTTCTTCCCTCCTGCCTGCCGAGCCCCCGCGGACCGCGCGCGCGCAGGGGCGCGGTGCGCTCGCTGGGCGGGGCCCGCCGGGGAGGCCGCCGCGCTCGCCTGGCTCCCCGCGGCGCCTCCGCGCGCCGCGCGGGCGGCGGCCGCAGCGGCGGCGGCGTCGACGAGCGCGACCTCGACGCCGACGTCGACGGCGGCGGCGGCGTGGACGCGGGCGTCGGCCCTGCCAGCGGTCGACGACGAGGTCGACGAAGCCGGCGGCGGCCGCAGCGACGGCGACGGCGACGGCGCTGGCGTCCAGGTCTCGCTTCGGAGGTCGTTGGTGCGAGGCGGGGATTTATCCATATCCACCGCCTGGGAACCGACGTCCTGGTGCCCCAGCGGGCGGCGGATATGGATACATGTTGGCCAGAGGCCTCAGTGTATGAGGCTGAGACGATCTCAGTAGGTGACGCGGCGTTTGTCGATGATGAATGCTTTGTCTTGATGTCTGCTTCTGGGGCTGCCCTAGACAAGGCCATCGATGTTTTGCCCGAACAACTTTTTGGGGTCTTTGAGAGACTCCATCTTTCCGTCAACTGTAAGCCTGGAAAAACGGAGGCCCTGTTAAAGTACCGAGGGCGCCATTCTGTGAAATTGCGTGAGGCCCGTCGGTGCTCCGATGGCAAGTTGCGTCTTCAGGTTCCAGGCCGCCCTGAGCTAGCGATTGATGTTGTAGAAAGCTATGTCCATCTCGGCACGCACGCGTGTGTAGACGGGTCGTACTTTAAGAATGCTTCTCATCGATGTGCGAGTGCAATGGCAGCGTATGCCCCGTTGTCCTCTAAGATTTTTGGCGCTCCGAGTGTGACGAGAGCGCACAAGCTTTGCTTCATGAACACGCTAGTCATGTCAAGATTGCTGTTCTCGGTCTTTGTTACTGTTCCTGCCCCGAATGCCCTGAAAAAGCTGAACGGAGTTTATATTAGAGTTTTACGCCGTATCCTAGGCGATTCCAGATTCTCCTCAGATGTTCAGTTTATCTGATCGCGAAGTGCGCGAACAGTTGAAGCAGCCATCCATTGATTGCCTGATCTCTCGTGGTCGTTTGCTGCTTTGGGGGAGGCTTGTGCGAAACCGTCCTCGTACCCTCCTCGCCCTCCTCCATGTTCGAGTGAAGCACAAGCCTCTCCCATGGATGCAGCGTTTGCTTGAGGATTCCGCGCTGCTGAAGCGTGCGGTGATGCCCCCAGACTTTCCGTCCCCACTTGAGGACCCGAGGAAGTGGGAAGGCCTTCTACAGGATGAGAAGTCTTGGAGTGTGCTTGTCAGTCGCCTCGATTTCGTTGAATCGGCGAGTGACCCTGCCCCCCCTCCGACCTCGTCCCCAGCCCATCCCCAAGCGTGGATCTGCGAGCAGTGCCAGACCTCTTTTGCGTCTGAACGTGCTTTGCGGAGTCACCGCCGTGCCAAGCACGGCGAGCGTTCTGTCCTCCGAACCTTTGTCGGATCGTCGGTGTGCCCGTGCTGCAAGACTGATTTCCAGCAGCGGCTCCGATTGCTGTCCCACCTCTCTGACTCACGCCGCCCAAGGTGTCGTGAGTGGGTTGTGGCCAACTGCCCTCCTCTTCCTGCCAGGGAAGTCTCCAGGCTAGACGCTGAAGATCAGCGACTGCGCCGCGAGGCCCAACGTGCAGGACGGTCCCACCACCCAGCCCGAGGCGCCGCCAGGAGAGCCACAGGGGAGGTGGTGGGAAGGGCGTCGCTTTGAACCCTGTTTAAAGCTTACTGTTGTAACTGGCATAACTTGCGGCTTTAATCACCGGCCAATAAAATATGTTGGCCCCTGGGGGCCCGAATCACAATATATAGTGTTGCAAATATATAAAATAACTTACATACATATGTTATCTATATATATCATCTATATACATATATATATAAATTTTTTATATATATATATATATATATATATATATATATATATATATCGATATCCATATCTATATCCATATCAAACTCCATATCCATATCCTTATCCGTATCCATATCCAACGCCTGCCGAGGTCCCCGAAATTGATCCTCCAGGCAATGGTCATGTAGAAATTACCGCCTCGGAAAGGGGGGGCATTTCCAGGGGGTCTCGTCGCCGCGGCTGGCCGCGCCAGGGAACAATGGTCAGGACGAAAAAAGGGATGGCTCTGGGATTTGGGTCGGGCGACGACGACGGCGGCGCTGGCGGCAGTCCTCGGTCCTCCCTCTCCTCGATCCTCCCCTTCCCCCCTCCCAAACCTCCAACGTGGTGACTTTTCGAGAATGTACGTGGGGGGGTGACTTTTTCACTTTGGATCCTGGGCTGTTGTCTGACAGCCCCAGGCCCCGAACATGGTTTTCGGCGGCTGGAATTTGCAAGCCAAGTCCGCCTTGCTGTGTTTGGAACGCTGGACATCTGGGTTTGTCCCCCCCCTTTATCGCGGAGGGTGTCCAAGGATCTGGTATCGGGGGCAATCCTCTGGAGGCGGAGCTTTGGAAGCGCAGAAACGCCCCCTGCCCCACCCCACCTTGCCCCCGTCCGACCAGAATCCTGCTCGCCGCTCCAGAGTTGTTTCTGGGCCTCTCTTGGGGTCTCTCCTGGCAAGTGTTTCGAGCTGCGCCTGGCCGCAATAGCCCCCCCGAAGGCCAGGGAGCCAGGAAATGATGAGAGGAGGAGGTGGAGAAGGGGGAGGAGGAGGAAGGGGAGGAGGAGAAGGAGGAGGAAAAAAAAGGAGGACCCAGTCGTGTTGTTCGATAACTCCCCCAGGTGTTCTGGAACAAACGCGTCCTAAACTAAAGAACCCCCTCTCTCTTTCTCACTCTCTCTCTCTCTCTTTCTTTCTCTCTCTCTCTCTCTCTCTCCCCCTCCTTTCGACCGCATTCCCGCCGCGGCTGCTCTGGCGCGGGCCTTCCGAAACAGACGAGGACGAGCGACCAAGACTCCGTGCAAATGGCTTGGGGCGGCCAGCGCCGACGACCCGCATGCCGCATGAGCAACGGCATCGAGGCCGCCCGCCTTCGGAGTCTGGAGGAGGGGGAGGAGGAGGAGGAGGAGGAGGAGGAGGAGGAGGAGGAGGAGGAGGAGGAGGAGGAGGGGGAGAAGGAGGAGGAGGAGGAGGAGGAGGAGGAGGGAAGGAGAAGGGTCGGGTGGGGGGAAGCAGTAGGGGGAAGAGGAGGAGGGGAGAGGATGACGCAGGTAATCGTGTGCAGTGAAAGCTCGTCTAGGTGTGGTGAGTTTGTTATGTGGTTGCATCGCGTGCATTCTCTCGTCCCTGGCTTGCTTAAATGCGAGCTGGACCCCTGGGTGAGAGCGCGGATGCAAGCAAGTTACCTGGTCAGGTCGGCGGGTTGCCTGGGGTACAGCGCCCCTCCCTCGGCACGGGAGTGGAGCGCCTGCCCCGCTAGCAGGGGGCACTGCCCAGGAGAAGCGGGATAAAAAGGGATTGCAGGAGGCGGGCGGCCGCCGCCTTCAGTGGGGCGCCCCCCCCCCCCCTTGGGGGACCAGTGAACCAGTGAAATTCTGGGCAGGTGTGCATCGGGCGCGGGCTCCTCCTCCCGCCGATTCCTCCCCCCCCACCCCCCACGGACCGCTGCGCGACGCACCGTCTCTTATCTTTCCGCTGAATCCTCTGCCCCGAAATGGGGCCGAGCGGCAGAGAACGAGGAGCCAGGAATGGAACGGGAGAGGAGGACAGCCGAGGAAAGGCAAGGGACGAGTCAGCAGCCGAGGCCTCTGACCACGGGGGGAACGAGAGGGCAAGGGGCAGCCGCGGAAGGCAAAGCCTAGCAAACGAGCTGTTGTTTTCTTTTCTCGGCAAGCACCACTGTGGCAAGCATGTGTGTTCAACTAGCTGTTCTATATGTGCGACCATTGCAGTCAATTGCGCCGACCTGCATCCATGTTTCTACTGTTGCGTGCACCTTATGCATTGGATAATTGTGTTCAAGCCGCAACGCGACGCCAGCAGCCGAGGCCTCCGACCAGGGGGGGACGAGAGGGGAAGGGGCAGCCGCGGAAGGCAAAGCCTAGCAAACGAACTGTTGTTTTCTTTTCTCGGCAGGCACCACTGTGGCAAACATGGTTGTTCAACTAGCTGTTCTATATTTCTATATGTGGGACCATTGCAGTCAATTGCGCCGACCTGCATCAATGTTTCTACTGTTGCGTGCACCGCATGCCTTGGATAGTTGTGTTCAAGCCGCAGCACGATGCCAGGAACATGCTGTTCTCCGCTGTCTATGTATATTTCGTATACGTGGTCCGACAACTTAGTACAAGCGGCTGTGGTGCCCTTTTCCTCGTTTGCTGAGAGATTGCCCGCATCCAAATTATCCGGCTCGGTGCGTGTACAAAAATATGTATAATTTTCCAGCCCGTATGGGAACTCATCTCAAGCGTATTGAAACTGATCCATGCTGTCTGAATTTCGAATCGCGCCAATCAGCTCTCCAAAATAGATGTCTTCCGAGCGACTCCCAATTAGTTTCTATGTAGTGAACGGCGTTGCGTCCAAGATGGTGAGATTCGGCCCGTTGGCCTCCGTTTCAGTCGCTGGCGGGGTGCTCTCTCCAGGACCGAATCGGGCCCGCCAGGCATTGACTACTTGACTACAGTCCCTCTCCGTTGTTAATACAACCTGTGTTGCCTCCTCGTCTTGGGTTGCGTCGTCCTCGTTGCGGGAACTTGTGCGCTGGCTATCCAAAGTGTGGTCTTTCAGTTGTTCTTCGAAAGCGCCAGCATGCAACCTTTTTCAAACTCTGTGCGCTGATCTAGTGGTCTCTGCCCGAGTCCCAGCGGGGGTGATAATGAGAAGCCTCTTAAAATGTCCATCCTGGCGGCCTGGCATTACTGCTGCGTGGGTGCGTCGAATACGTTGTCGCATTCTTTGGCTGGAGGTCACACCTGCGGATCCCGAGAGCTCGGAGTCAAATGCGGCACCAAACAAATCCAGCAGAAGACGAAGAGACGATGCACGTTACGGTATCGGATGCGTGGCCCCGCTGCTTCCCTGCCCGTGCTTCGCTCGTGGCGGGCCCCCCAGTCCCCCTGCCCCCCGAAGCCTGCGGGCATGGGGCGCAATACTAAGGAGGAGGAGGAGGAGGAGAA